AATAATGAAAGTCTGTCAAAGGGACACAGGAGCCAACTGAAAGAGTGCCCAATGGCCAAAGCTGGAATAATGTAACCAACAAAATAAATATAGTATTGGATTACAACCCGAAGTACAAAATAAATATCCATGAATTGGGGGAGGAGGGCATAGTTTAGTGGTAGAGTGCGTGCTTAGTATGCATGATGCCCTGGGTTCAATTCCTGGGACCTCCACTGAAAATAATATATAAATAAACCTAATTACCTCCCCCTGACAAAATTTTTAAAAATCCATGAGTCCATACTGATAAAAATAAATGATTGAATAAGGTAATGAATAGAAAGAAGAGACAAATCTCCCTTGCAGAATAATTCCCAGTAATTTACATCAGTACCTTGCCCTCAAGAAGGTGGAGTATAAGGACCCCACGCCTCAGGGGACTGACTTCTTTTCAAAGCGTCCCATATGGAAAGGGAGGAAGAAGTTTAACTTGACAGTAGAGAAACCTGACAGAGGATGACCAAGCCAGGTGATCAAGGGTAACATAAAAGCGATAAATCATGTCAACAGCATGCAACCTAGATACGATGCAATAAAATGGTACTTTCCCTATGAGCTCTTCCTCTGAAAAACATATAACCCCAGTCTAATAGTGAGACAAACATCAGATATCACAATTTGAGGGACATCCTATAATATACTTCAGCATATTTCAAAACTTTCGAGGTCATCTAAGACAAGTCTGGGAAACTGCCATAGCCAAGAGGAGTCCACAGAGACATGACAACCCCTTATTTGTGGACATAAACGTTTGGCAACATAATGCTGTCAAATTTGACAACATAAATCTAATACAGTATCCTGGAATAGAAAAAGATATTAAAACTAAGGAAGTCTGAATCTGTTATGGGCTCAAGTTAATACAAATGTACCAACAATGGTTTGTTAATTGTAACAGATGGATCATATTAATGTAACATGTTAGTAACTGTGAATAACAGGGGAAACTGGATATGAGATATAGGGAAACTCTGTACCAAGCATATTTCTTGATTGTTCTATAAATCTAAAAAACAGCCTGTTATCAACCGAAAGAGGAACATGCCAAAGTACACAGTAGTCAAACTGACAAAAATTAAGGATAAGGAGAATATATTAAAATCAGCAAGAAAAAAGCAACAAATAATATACAGGGGAACTCCCATACCGCTATCAGTTGATTTTTCAGAGGAAATTCTACAGGCCAGAGGGAAATGCATAATATATTTAAAATGATAAAAGGCAAAACCTTACAACCAAGAATACTCTATCCAGCAAGGCTCTCGTTCAGATTTGATAGAGAAATCAAAATCTTCACAGATAAACAAAAGCTAAAAGAATTCAGCACCACCAAATCAGCTTTATAACAAATGTTAAAGAAACTTCTCTAGGTGTCCAACCACAAGAGACCAAAAAGAAGAAAGGGGGAAAAAAAGACCTACAAAAGATTGCTTTGGCAATTCAGGGTCTTTTATGGTTCCATATAAATTTTGGAATTGTTTGTTCTAGTTCCATGGAAATTGTCATGAGTATTTTGACAGGGGTTGCATTGGACCTGTAGATTGCTTTGGGTAGTGTGGCCATTTTGATAAAGTTGAGTCTTCCAATCCAAGAGCACAAGATATCTTTCCATTTATTTGTATTATCTTCAATTTCCTTCATCTGTATTTTACAGTTTTCAGAGTAGAGGTAAGTTTATTTCTAGGTATTGTATTGCTTTTGATGCAATGGAAATGTTTATGCCAGTTATAAAACTCTGGGTTTTGAAATGCCCCGCCCCCTAAAAAGTGAATGAAAGGCTGCAAATGGCAAAATATCCTCTTTTGTGGGTGAGTTGTATTCCATTGCATAGATGTGCTACATCTTCTTTATCCATTCATCTATTGATGTGCACTTAGGATGCTTCCATGTCTTGGCAATTATAAATGGTGCCACTGTTAATGGCCAGGTGTATGTATCTTTTTGAATTAATGTTTTTGTTTTTCTTAGGTTTATGCCAAGGAGTGGAATTGCTGGGCTGTATGGTGGTTCTGTTTTTGTGTTTTTGAGAAACCTCCATATTACTTTCCATAGTGGCTGCACCAACTTACACTCCCACCAACACTATACAAGGGTTCCCTTTTCTCCACATCCCTGCCAACATCTGTTATTTGTGTTCTTTTTGATGATGGCCATTCTGACAGGTGTGAGATGATACCTCACTGTGATTCTGATTTGCATTTCCCTGATATTAGTGATGTTGAGCAACTTTCCATGTTCCTGTTGGCCATCTGCACTTCCTCTTTTGGAAAAATATCTTTCAGTTCTTCAGACCGTATTTTAAATGGGCTGTTTTTTTGGTTTGCTTTTTAACTGAAGTACAGTTGATTTAAAATGTTGTAATAGTTTCTGGTGTACAGCATGGGTGGACTTGGAAGGCATTAAGCTAAGAGAAATAAGTCACAGACAAAGACAAATACTGTATCACTTGCATGGGGAATA